ACTTTATTAAACTACAATGTTTATCTAAATATTCATTACGATGTTAAACACTTTTGACTCCCTTAAATTATTTTCCGTTAAGTAAAATTTATTCACCGACATTTTTTGTCCAATTGATTAAGACGCTTGAGAACACCCTTAAATATTAATTGAAAAAAGAAATCGACGGGTTCTACGTATTTTTAAGCATCAGAACGTTGTTCGTTCTGCAGTACATCAAAAATCAACTAATTTAAAGTTAATAAAAGGATCTATATCAAATGCTTAAATTGGGTAAATGAAAGCAAGAAAAGGAAGCATAAGAAGCAAAATGAGGAAGTAATAGTGAAATGTAAGAAAATTATTAAAAACTTTTCACGAAAATAAATTCGTCATATCTAACGATATTTGAAACTCTGTATGTAACTGATCTTGGTTGATCTTGGTTATGCTAGGTATGCTAGGTTCGTGTCCTAACGAAAATACATGGCTGATTCTGATCGGCCACTTACTGGTCATGTATTTCCGTTCTCACTGTCTGGGACAGGGACGATGATTTTTGTGGCGATATAACATAAATTTTGTGTCGACATAAAGTAAATTTTGTGGACCATCAGGGATTTTTTGTGGACCATTCAAGGTGATTTTGCGATATTTTATGACTATTTAGAGCGATTTTGTGTCTCTCTAAAGGTCTCGGCGTATTTTATATTGAATAATTATCTAAGTCCCGACAATTCCCGTTTTTTTGTTTGCAAAGTGACCATCACAAAATTATGTGATATTTTGTGATCATTGTCACTGCCCTGAATGGACCTTAAAAAACATTGCAAGGCACTGTTTAATAATTGTTTAGATAGAAAATTGTCATTTACATTATTCTTTAAACCGTCCTACTATCATTGTGAAAATCAATATAAGTTAATAGATTAATTATAGAAAAATTTGCCTGCAAAATGATTTAAAGGATAGGATCTTTAATTAGTTTTCATACTCTGCAAACTAACACCAAGCATAAAGCACATGATAATGGAGAAACTCCCTTATCAACAATCAAATTGTATAATAAATTTAGATACGTATAATCTTAATACATATATTAAAATACAATCAACCGGAGGTGAAATTCACCACTATATGTTTATAATTATTATTATTATTATACTATTATATGATCTATTAACTTTAGAATCAAAGTTAAGGACTAAATTAAAATTAAAGGTTAAGGGTAATGATTAAATATCGATTAATAAAGCCACTTTGAGAAATAGCATCTCGGTGTTTCACCTCCAGTGAGCTATGAAACAAATAATTTGCATGACCTCGTATATTAGTCAATAGATTTAGGGTTGTCAGGGATATGAACTTATCAAAAAACTAATTATTGCTGCCGATGGCATACCGAAAATGTGTACAAGGTTGGTGGCGCAGACAAAATTTCTAAACTTTGTTAGTGTTAGGGTCAGGGTTAGAATTTAAAGAGGAGTGGTTTCTATAGTAAAATTGACCAACGAAAACTTTTTTTAGAACACAAAAGGTTTGGCAGAACGACCGTTTGTTTTGAATTCCTGATCATGTTACCTTACACCTAAACTTGAAATCTGATTCTAGTTTAGGAGAGCTGCGCCACCAACCTTGTACACATTTTCGGTATGCTCAAGTCCGTAATCTGTGACAGGTTAAGCCACAGATTTAAATCACTGTTCGACTATGCCTCTCAGAACTGATCTAAATCATGAAGAAAAAGCTACTGTATTTAGTGATTTGAAAAGGCCTATTATTAGGAAGTTAAATATATTAAAAAACGACTGGATCGTAGGTTATGCAAATTTGGATATTTTAAAAAAACTTATAAAACAGATATTTCCAGCATCACTTCATTTTTAGTTATTAATTCAAATTGTCAAAATATTAGGCTAACATTACAAACCGTGTTAGATAATTCAAAGATTATTATAATGTAGCAAAAATAAAATCTTCCGAATATCTCTTTATGATATTAGTCGCGACTGCTCAATCAAAAGTGCTGCGAAAATATATGTTCTCGAATAAATGTTATGAAGAAAAGGAGAATTCAGTTCTTCGAGTTATCCTCATTCAAAAAAAGTAGAATTAAGTGAAAAGAGTATTATTTAAGTAAGAATATGTTGAACAATTAGCACGGTTGAAGAAATGACATATTGTTTGCTTTGCTTAAAGTAATTTTAATATACTAGAGAAATATTTATGTGGTATTCATTCTTTTAATTTTAAAATTAAAAGTTTTTTATATAAATATTTGTTTAGTTAATATCAAAAGTTTTTAAATTTAAAGTTTTATGATGGTGATTGAAATTAATGGCTTACCTGTCACAGATTACGGACGTGCCTGTGTGCCTGTGGATGAAGGTATGATGTTTAATAATGACATGTTTGCAGCGTTTTGTTCAAAGTTGCTTTGTTACGTTAGATTCAGACAAGCTTTATTACTAACTATTTAATTGGGACAGGAATAAACTTATACGTAGTAGATGAATTATTTATTAACCGGATATCCGGGTCAACCAAATATTTTTAATGGTTTGACAAAAAGATCAACCGGTTGATGTGATCAGTTAACCTAATAAGAGGTTGAGCCCTAGTATATTATGAAGTTATACCATCACCAGTAATAAGCTAACCCACATGAATTTATGAATTCCAATAATAAAGATAATTTGAAAAATGAATCAATAGTTTTATTTGTCATATGATGCATCATTCGGTTAACTTATGAAGATTGCCTTTGATCACTTCGAATTGATTCGTTCTTCAAGTTGAAAAAAGAAAAGTAGCCAACTTAATCACCGTTATGGATCCAAACTTTTCATATGATGATCTTGGTTAAACGATTAGAAACAATTTTATTCCTATTAAGTAGATGTATTTACTGATGTGAAACTTAAAAGTTCAAAGTAATTTTTGTATAAATATATTTTTGCTTGCTTGTCATAAACAAATTAGATCTTTGTAGTAATAATCTAACTAATTTTATTTCGATCGGAATCTGAAACAGGATCATCAAACCATTAAGGCATATTAGCCTGATACCCATTATCTTAGCGTTAGTAACAAATGACTAGTCATTGGGTTACTTCAAAACCAGAATGACTTAGAAGGTTAATTGATAACCTAGCTCTTTTAACCAATTAGAATTAGATAGAAATACAATTGATGATCATAGTTATACATAAAAGAATTCTAAGTTAATCGATATTCAGATAAATAAGAAAATTTCATGTGATTTCAACGACTTTGATTAATATTATCTTTACATGAAATTTTTCGCGTAAAGGTTAAAATGTGTAAAATGTATTAAAAAAGTTACACGAAAACCCGTAATTGTTGATTTCCGAAAAATTCACTTTAACAGCGGTGTTGGCCATGTCCAAATGAATTTTGATTGGGGATTACGGGCCTATCAGACCCTGAAAATGCGATCTGATTTCCGGTGAAACAATATGATCCCGTTTCATTTACTATCACAGGATTAAGTTCGTATATGTAAAAGCGACTAAAGAACTACAGTTTTTCGCTTTGCCACATTAGTATGTTAATTTGATATTTCGAAATAACTTAAAAGGCATGCGTAGCAGCGATCATCGATTAGTTAGAGTAATAATGTTCGACGACCCTACTTGATCAATAAAATTATTGGATCGGTATGCATAAATGACCTAAATAAATGTGCCATAAGTCGTTATCAAATAATGACCAGGTCATTTGGCCATTTAAATTTTGATCAAATGACTAGGCCATTCAACATTTAATGCCATTTACTTTGAACTTTGACGTTAAATATAAACTTTAACTCAATTTCGTATCACGATCGGATTTGCTGATAGACATTATCTCAACATTAGTGTAACCGTTTTCTTCCGTGCTTTTATGGTTTTTCCGGTCAGAGATGCTCGTTGAAGCCATGAATAGTATCGGCTACGATTCAATTTATATAAGATTTTAAGTGCTGTGAACGGTGTGAAACAGTGCATAAAAATCTCTTTGTTTGCCGTGTTGAGCTTTCCGTTATTAGATGAATCTTAAATTTGTGGCTCAGCTTTACGGAAATTTTTAAACGACAATGAATATTCAGGTAGCACAGTGACTATTATCAGTTATAATAATGAATCGAATTTTTTATTTTGAAAAATTTTCGATTATTAAACAGTACGTGGCTTGTGTTTCAAAAAGTGGAAATATCCGTTGAATTTTTTGGTAATGTTCTCGTTTATATGATGTTTATTGATGATAATTTTAGATCCGATTGTTTATATTTGGAATTTTATATTATCCAATCAAGATAAGCTTCAATACAGATTTAAAGATCGACACATAGTCTCGTGTAATCCTAAATTTAGTCTTTCACTCTGCCAAAGTCTATATTCAACCTTCGCCACTCTTTTTATTCGACTATATACATTCTTTTTTGTGTCCGAAATATTTATTTCTCTCCACACTCTAAACACTCTTTTCCCGTTTCTACTGATAGACCCTTTATTTTACATTTATTACTCTTTTCTGCCTGTTAAAGATCAACATGGAAACTTCTACTCTTAACCCTTCTGTTTTTACTACTCCCGAAATCTCTGTAGATTCTGATGTTGCTTCTGTTTCATCTGACTCTGATTCTTCTGACGAAATATCGCTTGCAAATAAAGCAAATTACGACAATTTACACTTTAGACCTTCCCATCACCATCTTTGTCTTCCTGAATTAAAACGTTCGGCTTCAGTTTCTTCTCTTAGTTCATACGCGTCTACTCCCCCTGAAACTCCTACAATGAACGGTAAAAATTCAACTGTGACCGAAGAAAACATACTGGCACTCGGTGAGTCTGGAGCCCTAGCTCATAACTGGTATTCTTATGGCGGTGGTTCAATTCACGCTGATGGCCGTTGGTTCAAGGACGAACAGGGGCGAACTTGTATGTTACGTGGTGTTAATTTGTGCGGAAATTCTAAATTACCTACTAAACCGGATGGTTCAAGCCATTTGGTCGAAGGTTTCTTTGATCATCGTAATGTATCTTTTGTTGGTCGTCCTTTTCCATTGGAAGAAGTTCACGAACATTTTTCTAGATTGAGAACTTGGGGTCTAACTTTTGTAAGATTACTTGTAACTTGGGAAGCTCTAGAACATGCTGGACCGTAAGTTTTATCTCGTATAATTTTTTTAATTTGTAATTTATCAAATACGATTTGATCCCATAAAAAATTTTTTAAATTTATTAGTGGTATTTATGATGAAGAATTTATCGATTATTTAATTAATGTTATAAGCGAGATGCCTCGTTATGGTATTAAATGTTTCATAGATCCACATCAGGATTGCGTTAGTATATTTTTATTTTTATTTTCTGGAGCGTAGCGGAGGACTTATATTCAAGTACAAAAGAACATTGCCTGTACCATTGCTAATCATGTAGATCATGTCTGTCCACAAAATATGATCGGTTATTATGATGTCATATAAATTTATAGCTCCAGACATTGTTTACCTAGTTTTTAATTAATCAATAACTAATTAACATCTCATTATAACTATAGTGGTCACGTTTTTCAGGTGGTTCGGGTGCTCCAGGTTGGACATTTGAAGTTGCAGGTCTTGACATGGAGCAATTCAAGGCTACAGGTGCTGCTTATGTTCATAACACAAATCATAACCCTGGAGAACCTTCATTACCAATGGTATGGCCTACAAATTATACAAAATTGGCTAGTAGTACAATGTTCACCTTATTTTGGGGTGGTGATGTATTTGCACCAGAAACAAAATATGAAGGAATGAACGTTAAAGATTTTTTACAAGAGAAATATATAAATTGTTATAAACATTTGGCAAGGTAAAGTTAAACAAATATTTACTATTTTTAATAGTATTTAGTAGTATTAATTGATAAAATATAGTCAATAACTTTTATTAATGTTACCCAGGCGCCTTCAACATTTGGATGCTGTTATGGGATTCGAATTAATGAATGAACCTCAGTATGTATTTTTCTTATATTTCAATTTATTTAATTTTAATAACAGTAAAGTTATACCAAAAATTAATTTTATTTAAAAATTTATTATAAAGCCCTGGGTATATTGGTCTTTCAAATCTTCTTCAATATGATGCTGGTACCACCCTTGTATTTGGTGACTCGCCAAACGCATTGCAGTCGTTTGCTCTTGGTGCTGGTATGCCTCAGGAAATTGAAGTATGGGTTAGATCATGGCCATTTCCTACTAAAAAACAAACTACTCGAATTCTTAACAAAGAGTGCAAATCTGCATGGATCAATAATCAATGTATTTGGCAGCAACATGGTGTATGGGGAATTGATACTAATACATCAAAACCTAAAGTCTTAGTTAAAGATTATTTCATGAAACACCCAGAAACTGGAGAAAAACTAGAATTTTACAAGGATTTCTATTTGCCATTCGTAAAAAAATATTCCGAGGGTATTCAAAGTGTTAAGAATGATTATTATGTTTTTGTAGAGCCCCTTCCAAATGAGGTATTTAAATATGATTAAAATGTTCATGTTAATATCATTATTAAACATTCTAATCATCATTATTAGCCGCCACCAAAATGGAGATCTGAAGATCATCATAACAACATAATTTATGCGCCTCATTGGTATGACTTGAAAAGTCTGTTTACAAAAACCTTTGACGGCATGATTACACATGATGTTCAGCGTCTTACTCGTGTAAGTTTGTCTTTTTTATGTTGCAACAATTTATCACTCTTTTCGAATTAGTAAAGTCATTGAACTTTATAACCTTAATGGTTATAAGTACTTCTTTGCAACATATTGTTTTAACACTATTTAGTGTTATTAATTTGCATAACATTTAAGATTTATAAACAACTATGAAATTGTTTATCAAACTAATTCTGAAAGAGCAAATAATTTAATTGAATTATAAACTAACAATTTGAGAAATCAGGGGGCTCAACATATCGTGTCAGCCACGTATTTTGGAATTTCAGGTGCCAAGAAGAATTATTTAGGTCAAGTTCGAAACATTATCAAATATGGTCTTGAGAATGTAGGAGATAAGCCTTGTGTCATCGGGGAATGTGGAATACCAATGGATATTAATGATAAAAAAGCTTTCGAAACTGGTGATTATACACATCATAGCAATTTCTTGGATGCGGTACTAGGTGCAATGGAAAGGAACCTTGTTAATTTCACGTAAGCGATCAATAAATTTATGTTTAAAGTTATTACAAGTATTTTGATTCTCAAATAAAAATTATAATATAGCCTTTGGAACTATAATCCATTAAACGATAACATACACGGTGACCATTGGTATGGTGAGGATTTTTCAATATATTCACCACCTCCTTACAAGACTAGTATGCCGACAACTCCACCTGCATCAGTAACTTCCGCTGTAACAAGCGAAGCCACGATCTCCATTGTAAACAATGAATCATCATCAAAACTCAAATCTAGAACGAAACAAACTCTTAAAATCCAGACATTTAAGGTTAACGGTTCAAAGGAACAAACTTCTCAAGATACACTTGAAGATCAAAAAGATCAAGTGTTTCAAGACGCGACTGAGGAACCTAATAGTTCTGAGATATATGCAGAGTGCGAAAACACTATGGACCAATTAAGCCCTACAAGCCCTACATCTCCATTTGACCTAAATCCATGGCAACTTGAACAAGACCAAGAAGAGTCTCATCATACAGGAGGCAGAGTCTTGGATGCAGTTTTGGTATGAATTATTTATCAATTTAATAAAATATTGGTTAAATTTAATCATATAAAGTAATATATGAATGTTAAAAATCATTTTTTGCAAAATTTTCATTACACAGCGTCCATATGCTGCCAAAATTTGTGGTAGACCACATACCATGGTGTTTAATCTAAAAACTAAAGAATTTACATTTAAGTTTACAAATTATCCAGCATCACAGCGAATTGAAAATTCCGATTCTCTTATTGTTGCCCCAGAAACGGAAATATATATTCCGAGTTATCATTATAATAAATTAAATCTTAATATCCGTGTTTCAGATGGAGATTGGCGGTATGTTAAAAGTAGACAAACATTATATTGGAGGGTTAAAGATTGGATGACGGAAGGCGTAGAACACACTATACGAATAAGAGGCATTGAAAGTTCAGCGGTCATTCTATCAGAGACATCAGGAAGTGTTGAATATACGAATGATCATGTCGAAAAACCAAACAATTTGAAAATTGAAGAAAGACCAGTAAATATTAAATGGATTTTAGGTGCAGTTTTAATTATTATGCTTGCAATATTGCCATTTGATATATTTTGGTGGTTATTGTCAGGAATGTGGAGACCAGACAATATAGAATTAAAAAATGTTACGTTTATAGTTGATTAAATTTTTACATGGACAATGAAACTTTCTTAGATAGGGAATAGATAGGGAATACCGTACATAGCAAAAAAAAACAAAAAAAAATTCTTATAGCATAACCTATTTTTGAATAATTATTAGACTTGATTAACCATTTTGTATATTAGAATGTGTGATGTTAATGTGATACATCACATGAACAATAGAATATTCAGTAGTACACAATTTTAATATTTCAACAAGTACTACATATTCAAAAATAAACTTTATTTTAACGCTATTATTAGCACTTCATACTATTATTAAATATGACAAAAGTTTAGTTATCGTAAAGTACTTTAAAAATGTAATGTTTTTTTTTCGATACGTAAGAAATATTCATTATGTGAAGATGACAATTAAAAAACTCTTACAACGTCAACCATTATTTGATTAAGTTCCTGAATAAATTAAAGTTAGTAATATCGAATATAACATAAATCATTAAAACAAATATATAAAGGATGATATTTACCAATTCCAATTTATCAAGCTCATTATTCACGTTTTCAAATATAGACCTAATATCATCTCTAATTTCCGTAGATTTAACTTGATCAAGAATTTCTTCAGGATCCTGGAGATGCCATCCGCTTCTTCTCCTTTCGATGTTTAAGTCAGATCTAACATAGGCTAAAAGATTTTGTAATCCAAAGTCATTTGATAATACCCAATTATTTTCCTTAAACGATGGTTTAGTTGGTAATTCAGTTAACGGGAAAGTATTTTTGATAACAATGTTCTTTGGTTTAGTTGATAAATCCGTTGATGGGAAAGTATTATGGATATCAGTAATTTGTTCCTTAAGCGGTTTTGATTTTCCATTCAAATATAGAAAAACAGTATTTTGGCTATCTTGTATTTGTAGTTTATTAATTGCTTCATGGTTTGATATATTAGAAAGATCTGATGAAATTGATAATATCGAAGTTCTTTGAACAGATGGTAATGGAGTTGAATAATAAGAAGCTATCGAATTAAAAATTTCAAGAGGGTGATCATGTGGCATTAAATGTCTTTCTTTTCTATTTATTTCTTTTATAGAAATATAATAGTTATCCCAATAATCATCATCTAATTTAAACCGATGAATCGCTTGTTTAATAAGTGCTATAGTAGTTGTTTTTGGACTTAATAAACCAGTTTTATATTTAAACTCGGTTTGTATATTTTGACCTGGATAAATACGAAGAACGCTATATGTAGGATTTAAATTTGTTTGATTAATAGTACGTTGTTGTGATCGCTTTAGACTCGGTGATCGTTGAAATGGTTGTTTTGAAGAACCCATTTGAAGTTGATCATAAGAATTATTTAACGGTTTAATAGAATTAAATGGAATATCATCTTTCTTCTTTTTTCTTTTAAAGAAATTCTTAAATATTCCATCCTTTTTTTCTTTTTCTTTCTTTCCTCTATTATGAATTTTCTCATCAGATGTTTCAACTATTGTATTCTTATTATGTTCATCGGATATTGGGCTAGTTTTTCCAGAACTACTACCAAAAAATTTAGTTTTAACTTTAGGTTCATCATCATCATCATCATCATCATCTGAAAAGTCTATGAAATCGCTACCCAAATGTGACATTAGTGACATTTCATTGATTTCATGAGGTGAATTTGAAATATCTAAAGTTTTTGAAGCAGAACTAGGCAAATCTATTGGATTATCCTTTTTCATATCATAATTAAATATTCCAGTTTGTTTTCTCAATTTTATTTTATAACTTACAGACTCATCATTTTGTTGATCAGATGGGACATTTGAGATATCAGTCTCAATGTTTTGTTGATCGTTTTCATTGGTCTGTGTTAATATTAAGGTTTTCATGGGTGTTAATTCAACTTTTTGATACGTTGGTGTAGCACTTGCGGTATGTTGTATATTTAATTCTTTAGCCTCAGCTACTACTATTTGAGTTTCGTTGTTATCTTCCTGATTCGTTACTTCCTCTTGTTGTGTTTGTTGTTCTTGTTCTTCAATTACTTGTACATCTTCATTATCATCTCCGCAAACAAAGTACTCAGGAGATGTAAAAATAACGACTTTACTTTTTATTTTTGTTTGTTTTATAGATAGATTATCATCAATATTATTTTTCGGTATTGTCAACTATTTAATCAAGTTGATGTTAAAAAAAGGAAATAAAAAAACGGACATCGATTAATTTAAAAGAAGCATGAATAACTTACGTTGACATTTTTGTGCTTGTTTATTCTTGCTAATTTTTCAAATGGCATCTATAATTTACATCTGTCAACAAATCATTTTATTAATTAATAATATATAATAATAAAACTTTTCAAAATTCACCTCAATATCTTCAGCAGGCATATAGCCAACGTCTCCATTTTTCAAGATTTTAACTAGCCACCAATAATTATTCGAATCATCTAATAAAATTAGTGAATCACCTTTTTCAACTTTGGCTCGACCTTCTACTGTTTCTGTAAAAGTACGTAACGCATAAACTAGACCAGGTTCGATATCTTCATCGGTAATTGGAGATAATAAACTACTAACATCACTATCTTCTTCAAGTTTGGTTATTATTTGACTTTGGGATGCGGCATTTATGTCAATAGATAAATTATGCTCTCGAGCCATTATTTAGGTTCTAAGGCCAGTTTTAATAATCTTAAAAATAGGGGAAAAAAAACAATGTTATATGTATTTATTATAAAAAGGGTTTTCGCCTAATTTTTTTTATATTTAAAATTAGAAGCAGGATTGACAGGTCACTTTTAGATATCGTATTGGTAATGTCTTGTAGATGACTGATGATTAGTATATCGATTCATAGAAGATCATATAGGATGTAAATTATATATGAATGCTATGAAGGTTTAGGATTTTCTTTAAATATGCTAGAATTCAGAATTTTCAAAAAAATCTCATGTTTATTTAAATTAAAAACTTTAAAGATCGATACTATAAGAAGTATAGTATTTTTCGTGTTTTTTTTTTTGTTTTTGTAACAATGTCACAATACAATTATACCGATTCCCCACAAGAAACACGGAGGTATTTATTTTATTTGTTTTTTTTTTTTTTTTTGTTAAAATGTATTTTATATAACAAAAATAACAATAAAATTGAAATGCCCGATTTTCAACGGTTTGCACGTGAATAACCGTTTCAAACATTATTTTAATGCTGATTTTTGATCCGTTTTGGACTTGTACTTTGTAATACCACATCTGAACTCGTAAAATACTCGACCGCTTAAAGTTAACATTGTTTTCTAATAATATCTATGTTCCATTTTGGAGTAGCGCCAGTTGGCCAAAAATAGTTGAAAATCATACGATAAAGTAAATTAATGGCAATTTTATTGGCAAATTTATCCTAAGCTCAACAATGTCACGGAATCAATCATAATCGTGAAATAATGTACTTCTATTCCAGCCCGTTATTTTATCCATTACATGTTATTTCGAGACGCCTATGTGTGTTTATTTCGATATAAAAAGTTTTGAATTGTTATGTACTATTTTACGACAAAATAGGATTGTCTTCGGGAACTTGAGTTACCGTTATATTTCTTGTAAAATTTTGAAGTGAGGATCCAATACTAACTCAATGCAGTATCTATCAAACTCGTATTGTATTGGTTTAGATGTTCGACAAAGAAAGGGATTCAAGTTAGTAGAATTCCGTCTAATTTTCGGAAAATGCAAAAAAATTTACTTTGTAGTAAATGTTACACATTAGTAGTGACAGTCATGTTAAAATATTAGTTAATCTGCACTCATAGCAAGTAATAAATAAAAGTAAATATTTGATATCAGTATATACAAATTTTTTCGTTTTCGTAACATTGAATAATGATCTGACAATCTAGAATTATTTTCTTCTTTAAAAAAGCTTCTATACTGGTTATAACAAGAAATTAGTACGGTATATCCTTATCTGCATTAGAATTAAAAGGTATATTTTTAAATGATCTGCCTTTCTTTATTAAGATAAATCCATAATACTAACAATATAACAAGATTGTACAAGAAAAATTTTTATAGTTGTTCATATAGGTTTACTTATAAGTGATTTTTCTTATCAGATATTTTTTTATTCGAATTCTTAACTTATTAAAAAATTGAGTTCAAGTTTACTAGATAATATTTAAAAGTCTTGTCAAAACCTATTTTACGATAGAGTGTTGCTAATTTGATAGTATTTCTTACGACAAAAAAAACAACAACAATAAGGTCATGCAAAATCAATTAATTGATTTTCATAACCCACCGGGTCAAAATTTGAAAACTTGTAAAAAAATTGTTTTTTTTATGTTTTACAGCTGTTTTCATAAATCTGGCAAAAATTGACCGCCCGAATATTTGCCGATTAGTTACGTTTTGATTAGGGATGTATTACATAAATTACTTTGTTACGTTTCATGTAAATTACATTGTAACTTACGAAATTGTAACGGTAATGTAACTTTACATTGAATAGTGCATTATCACATGATAATTTTACCGACATTACAAAAGTTTAGCCAGCACTAATAGATATCCATTATTATGTTCGGAATTGTAATTTAAAATTATTATTTTTTTTTTTTTTTTTTTTAAAGCGGCAATCTTGCCTGTCTGTCTTTTTGGGTAATATATTGTTATTACAATTATTACAAAGTTTATCAACGAAAGTACAACTAGTCACACGTATAACTTTAGTCATTATCTAATTAAGGGTTCTGCCCAAGGGTTACTCACTAGCTGTCATACCTGAGATTCACCTGTGAATCTCCTATTTTAAACTTTCTGATTTCAATCCTGTTGCATATATGCAATGCTTTTATTACTATATAGACATACCAGGTTAGGGCTATCTAATTACTATTTATATCAAGGTACCACTTCATTGGATATTACCAGGTATCCATAGTCTCTTGAATTTACTCTTGACACAGACTTACTAAGTTGGTATCAAGATTATTCTTTAGATTTATCCAATTTAGTAGATCTCATATCTACTAGAACCAGTTTTGGTGTCAAAAGTGTTCAAATTTTGATAAGTCCATTCCTTTTTCATAGTTTCTTTTTATGTTTATTGTATCACCTACTAGTGTACCTTCTCTCCATTTCTGGTATGTTCATCATTTCTCTTGCATCAAGCATCAACTCTTCATATCAGGAAACTTCTTTTTGAAAACTTCCTTATACACTGATCTTCTAATCACATGAACTTAGTCACAGGATTTCACATACATTTATATGCTTCTGTAGATTACAGAGTTTGCCTCTAGCTAGAATTGAACCATTGACCTTGTCTGTAGAGGGAGAGGTGTCTAGACTACTAGGCTATGGGATCTTATCTCTATAATTTAAAATTATTCACATGATTAAAATTATATGTAATTTTGATTTTAGAAACTTATACAGACTTATATAAAATTACAGTAATTTTCTAACCTTAGTTTTTGATAGATTTTTGATTCAGATATAATTATATCTGAATTAGAAGTTTATCAAAACTTAATGATCAACAAATATTTGGATAATAAAATTTAAAAAAAAAATCAGCCAGTTAGTTTGTTTAAAAGTTTAATGTTATGAAAATCAATATATTAAATTTGTATAATCTAAATATTATAAAAATAATATATAAGATACTGCAAATACCCATATCAGGCAAATTAAACTATGCCAGGCATTAGTGTTTTATGTCATGCACATATTTATAATTCAAAACTGTCAGGAATTATTATAAGCATGAGCATAAATATCAAGCATTTTTATAATTATAAACATAAATGTTAGGTGTTTTATAGACATAAATACAATATGTTAAATAAAAAGATATCAAAAAATGTTAGCATAAGCAGTTTTTTTTTTTAATATTAATAATAAGGTTATGCTTCTATTTTTATTAAAATTTATTTGAAATTTTTATATAAAGTATAAATTTACTATTAAAATATTATAAAATGAACAGAAACTTAGACTAGTTTATTTGTGACCTAAACCAACAGAAATAACCAAGACTTATCTAAATTTGGTTATTAATGATTATATATAAAAGATTAGTTTAGTATTTGATCTATTATATATACTAGGAGTTAATTTTAAAATGAATTAAAATAGAAAGAAAAGAATAAGATAAATATAAAATAAAATTTGAGAATGAGTTGAAAATAGAAAGATAAGATATTGATCTTAAAATACAATAAAGAATCCAAAATTTATAATATATTTGTTAATTAAGATGAAGTAAAAATTTAATAACAAGTATTGTAACTAATTTTTTGAATGATAAATTTAAGATAGTAGAGATAATTTTATATGACACTAAGTCTGATAAGGTTAAAAAGACTGATGATAGATCTACTGTATTATGTATAGTTATATAATACAGTTGTCTAATTTGGCAGTGCAGTTTAGTTATTGTTTTTGAAATAGTATCAAGTGTATTTGTATTTAGAATAGTTAGACACAAGTGTTAAATAGTATTAAATATATAATTAATTAATAAATATTAAATTTTTATATTTATACATATTTATATCTATGTCAAGTTTTTGTATTTATATTTATATTTATATCAAATTTTGTATTTGTAGTTATACTAAATTTTTATATTAGTGCATATATTTATATCAAAACTTATATGTCTATATTCATACTTATTTGTTATATATAAATATAAGTCTAGATTACAAATTCTTAATTATATAAAATATTTTAAAAATAAAAATTAAAAATAAATTTAAAAATTATATTAAAACTATTACTAATAAAAGTAATTTTTAATTAAACAAACTTTTAATTATAAAGAAAAAAATTTTAATATATCTTATTTATTACTAAATTTATATATAATTTTTAAATTAAATATTTTTTTAAATAAATTTAAAAATTATATATATTTTAGTTTATTGGTTAAGTTTTTAAATCTTTATAACCAAGATAAATAGTTCAAATTGGGTTAAAAAAAATTATTATTTATTTATTTTTAAATATTAAAATAAGTATTTGTAATCTAGAATTTTATTGATAATATATTTAGCTAATGATTGCATTATATAAAACATAATATGCCACCAGAGCTACCTTATATTAGAGGTTACAACTAGTTATACATGCACTTTTAGTATCTAATTTAAATAGTTCACTTATATATTATTATATAAGTTTTATACTATATGTCATATCTGCAAGCCAACTAAGGATCTTGTCTATTTAAACTCTTTGCATATGCAATCCTCTTTGTATTATGAGAACATCTTTAAGACTACACCTATTCAACTGGTCAGTACCTTTAGGACTACTTTATTCTTAACAGGAAACTTACTAAAATCTTTATATCTTATATATATTGATCTAGTTTTATATAACACATTATAGTTATCTAACACTTGCAGTCACAGGTGTTATCTGCTTAACCACTATATTACACTATTTCTAGTCTTGTAAAATTCATTAAAATCTTAGTACTTTTCTTTCTAACATCTTTTTTATTATTCTTTACTAATTACAACTCAGAACTAGCAGTCTCATGCCAAACTACCAATCCAGATAACCTGATATAATATAGTTTTGTATTCTTTTTCTCTGACAAGTCCAACAGCCTAATTGGTTATATGCTTCTTTATATATATTTGTTGT